GTACACCGAACATGCGAACATTCTTGCAAACGTGTGTTTTTGATGTCTTGCTTTCTTTCTGTGAAGTGTACACCGAACATGCGAACATTCTTGCAAACATGTGTTTTTGATGTCTTGCTTTCTTGCTGTGAAGTGTTTGCAATGCTGCTAGATTTGAGCTGTGCGTTTGAGATGTTCTTGAGTTTACCATTTGGAATCAGCTTTGAAGATAGCACTTGGAATCAGCTTTGAAGATTCTTGCTTGGATGTTTTGAAAAACTGCAAGATTTGAATGCCCAAGCGCTGCAAATGCACAGTCCATGTGTACATTCACATTTTGCACATGTATACTTTGTTTTGTTTTTTGAGTTTAGTGTGCTTCCTCTACTAGTTGTTGTTCTTGCAATGGCTGCTGAGCCTCAGCGCTTGTATATTGGTGGATGGAAGATGGGTATCACCCGGCAAGATTCTAGTCAAGTACAGTGGAGATTTATTTTGAAACTGCGTTCTTTTGCACAGTCAATCTTGCGATGTTCTTGCTTAACATAGTTCTTGCTGAACATAATAGTTCCTCCACAGTCGATTTGTTTATGTACCCACTGAGGAGATCTATGACTATTTGGCGGCCAACGATTTGCCGATCCCGAATGATATCAAGATTGGTAGACGCTTGACGTTAAAAGAGGCTTCGTGATCTTGCCACCTGTGATGTTCTTGAGATGAACATATCACCATGTTCTTGCCACTTGTGTTGCTAGAGTTTGTTGCAGTTGACACGGTGATGCTTTGATATAACATCTGTGATTCAAGAGATTCAGCTTCTTTGCACTTGTGATGTTCTTGAGATATTTTTTGTAACTGAGATGCTGCATGTTTTTGACAGGCGCCACTCAAAGGGGATATCCTGTTCTTGCCACCTGTAGCTCTTGCCACGTGTTTTGTTCTTGCCACCTGGTGTTCTTGTCAGTTCTTGCGCTTGAGATGCGTCTTGCCGATCTTGTTCTTGCCTCAGGTCAGGGGTCATCAGACCAGATGTTTACCTTTTTCAACCTGAGCTCCGCTGCTGATTCAGTGGCGATCCAGCTTGCACTTCGCGGCAAGACCATTACAGGTCTTACGAAGAGGGCTTTGAAAGTCAACATTGCCGGTCCAGCACCTCCACGCTACGATCCTGCGACCAAACATGGAAGCCGAGCAAAGTGGCAAATATGTGGTACAACCTGCGGTACCGACACCCACATCCTCCGTGACATCGAGACCAAAGCCGAGCGTTGCACCGAGATTCATGGCGAAGCCATCCTCAGTGGTTGCTCCTCCAGCTGTGAAAGCTGTTCCGAAGGCGGCTTCGGTGGCTTCGATGAGTCGGTGGGGAGAGCTTGGCCCAATGCCTCCCACTGAGTGGATCCGGCCGCGAGAGGCCATGCAGGGCGCTGTCTCAGGTGGTGAGACAGAGTATGCTGGTTCAGATGGCTCTCCGCATGAGCGTGGTGAGGAGGAGTCATCGCCAGATCATCCAAGCTGTGGATGTGCATCTTGATCTGTTTTTGATCTGTAGTTTAATCATGCACTTCTCTTGCATTTTTGCTTATTGCAATATGTTCTTGATAATACGGTTGATGAACTGTTCTTGATGTGTTCTTGAGTTCTTGACAATATATGTGATTCATTGCACTTTTTCAGACAGTTCTTGCGGGTTCTTGTGCTTTGTGTTCTTGTGAGTTCTTGTGTTTGTTCTTGCATTGTCAACCTAAGGATTGAAGCGAGCATTGATGGAGGTCTTTTTGATTTTCTTGAATGTAGTTCATATGTGGACCCTCTCTAGTCAGGGAATACCAATAACAGCCCGGATGACCGGCCGTGGACTGTTTTTGCTACATCAGAAAAGTTGATGTTGGCACGTTGTCCATGGATCAGCATAAGTACGATATGATGAGATGAGCGCGTGAAAAGAGATGCATCCGATGTCAGCACTGCAGCACTGCACTGAAAACAAAACCAGAAGGAAGTCTTTAAACTGATGCATCAAATACAATACGGCCATATATAGCTCTCTTTCATTTTCTTGCATGGAAGCACCATGATCTGTCCTATAACACAATCTAGTGGGCATGTTTTTCTTGCGGTGAAGTTCAACCACAGTTGATGCCTTTCTTGATGTTCTTTCTTGCAAACATTGTGTGTTGCTTGCTTGATCAAAGTGTAACTGTTCTTGAGCACAGTGAGTCTTGCTTTTACAGAAGAATTTGTTTGTTCTTGAAGACCCACTGCAATGCGTTTGGATCTTTTGAATTCTTGCAGATCATGTTCGTCTGTGTTGGTCGACTGTAATAATTTGTTTGGATCTAGTTATTGAGTCATGTTCTTCTATTTGGTCGTTGCTCTTGCTGATCAACTGTCACGTTCTTTTTGAATGTTCTTGCGTGGCTTCATTGCCAAAATTGTGGCGCTGGCTCTGTAGCTGGATTGAGATCGTGCGTTGTTCTTGCTGTAGTTCTTTCGAGTAGGATCGTAGAACCATGCCATAGCAAAGCTCTTTTGCTAAGAAGGTTGCCATGAAGTCAGTGGCAATGAAGAAGGTGAAGGCAAAACGCGGAACCAGTGCCGAAAGTTCCTCTTCGAAGCCCTCAAAGCCTATGAAGAGTATGAAGAAGCCATCCCCGAAGAGCATGGCTCAGTTCAAGAAGCAATTCAGGAAGGCTGGCAATAAAATGCTGCATCCCAAGAAGGTCAAGAGCGCCAAGTCTTGGTTGGACCCACAGGCCAAAGCCGCGGCGCTGAAGCGGCCTTCGAGTTCCAAGCGCAGCTGGAATGCGCCACCATCCATGACACTCCCGCAGTTGATGCGCTCTGAGATCAATGTGGTGCCTGGGAACCGCTTTGCCCATGAAGATATGTCAGAGGAGGACGTCAACATCCTGAAGCTGTGGAGCATACTTGCTGTGCGCCGCGAGATTTGTGAGCTCTACTTGGAGGGTCCTTGGGCTGCCTTTGGTCTTGCTGGCTTTCGTGATTTCAAGGTGAGGTTGCTTCGCAATCGGCTTCGGGAGGGTGAGTATACTGATTTGCTGGCAAGGTACAATGCTGTCAGCATGGGTCGCCCAGACCCAGCGCGTTCTTGAGTTTCAGCAAGGCGTCAAAGTTATTAATTTCTTGCCTTTAGACATCATTGATCTAGTGGTTCAGGACTAAATTATGCTCATAAAGCATTCCTTGATTGTAGTGTCTTCAACCAGTCTTTGTTCTTGCAACATCTTGTCTTGTGTCTTGCTGTGCTGCCACAGCTATTCCGGAGCGCTGCATTAGGATGGCTTCTTTTCTAATGAAGCTTACAGTAAGTGTTGTGTTGGTAACTTTTGTTCATTACAGTTGACCAGTGTCACTACAAAGGAGCCCTTGCAGAGCTGTGAATGGAAGCTGTGAATTTTTATCGGCTTATCATTGCGCGCCCAGAAACAAGCTTGAACTGTTCATGGTTCTTGTGTCACCTGATCATGTACAGTGCGTTCTTGCAATAGTGTAATCTCAAGATGTTCTCATACATGTGGCCTCAGTGTGAGCAATGTTCATCATTAGAAACACATTTTTTGATTCAAAAATATTGCTTTTTTGTTGAACACATTAAAAACGCAAGATTTTTTAGGGCAAACTCACAAATTTACTGTGCAAACTGCACAGTTTACTGTGCACTTTGCACAGTGAACTGCACAGTACACTGTGCACTTTGCACAGTGAACTGCACAGTACACTGTGTACTTTTCAGAAAAGTACACAGTATACTGTGTAGTTTCATGGTCTACTGTGCAAACTACACTGTAGGTTATATTGTACTGTGTAGTTTGCACAGTTGTACTACTATAACTGTGCAATTTGCACAGTAGTGTTGAACTTCACTGTGCAAAATGCACAGTTGACTGTGTACTTTACAGTGCAAAGTGCACAGTAAACTGTGCAGTTTGCATAGTAAACTGTGCAGTTTGCACAGTTGATTACGTAGTTTTTATTAAAAACATCAAAGTATGTAAAAAAAATGTCAGAAATTATCAAAAACACAAGAACAACATGATGAAACAAATACTCTACCGACGCATTTATTCCCCGGAATCATTTTTGGTAAGTTCTCTGTTAAAGCCAAACCAGCCAAGTTAACAAATACTCTACCGACGCATTTATTCACCGGAATCGTTTTTGGTAAGTTCTCTGTTAAAGCCAAACAGCCAGCACAACATACGCAATACACTTGAACAAAGCTAAACAAAACAAGAACAATCTAACTAGTAAACAACAATTCATTCGACATTTCTAGACAACAAAGATATTGCACAAATGAACAAAGCAAGAACAACACAAGAACATACTCACTAGTGAGTAACAACTCATTCGACTGTTCTTGATGACACAGATATTGCACACAGTTCTTGGTTTCTTTGTTGTGTTCTTGTTGTGGACAGAGGTCTTGAAGAATGTTCAGCTTTATTGTGTTCTTGATGATTTGATGCAGAGTTCTTGCAATACAGTACACTGTCTTGTGTTATGTGTTATGTGCTTGATGAGCTAGAGCTTGTAGTATTCAGTCTTTCATTTTCTTGCTGATAATGTTCTTGCACTGATCGCCAACTTAAAGCCTGAATGTCTTGATATACAATCGCGCGTGATATCCCAGCTGTGCTGTGAACATGGGAGATCAAGAACGAGAACTCTTTGGATCTGAGAATGGTGGTGAAGAGGCTGATGCCGCTTCAAAGTCACTGGAACCAACCATTGAGGAAGGCCACAAAGACGAGGAAGTCCATGAAGAGAAAGAAGACAAGGAGGAAGTGCATCAGGTCATGAAGAAGCCTAGCTCCAAAGTCATGTAGCGGCCATCATCCGCTTCAGTGACCAAGTCAGCAAACAAGAGCGACAAGGAAGAGAAGTCGGAGAAGAATGAGAAGGCAAACAAGTCGGAGAAGAACAAGGGCAAGCCAAACAAGTCGGAGAAGAAGGACAAGGATACAAAGGGGGGTCCAGACTCAAAGCCTCCCATGAAGCGGCCTGCAACCACCAGATTGGAGAAGATGGCGGAGCTCTTCGACCTTCCGGAGGATGAGGCCGCTGATGATGAGGGTGAGAAGGAGGATGAGGCAATGGAGGATGGGGGTGAGGGTGAGGAGACCGATGGCCGAGATCGCTCCAAGAGCAGAAGGTTCCATCAGATGTTGAAAGCTGGCTCATTGCCTGCGGCGGCCCTCGAGGCGTGGCAGAAAGCATCGACGCGTGCAGAGCAAACCACGCTCATCAATACGTGCCTCAAGAAAGACGGTAAAAAGTACATCATCAAGCCCGAATTCTCGACTCCCTCTTCCTACCAAATGGACAAGAACATGAGCAAACAGGAGCGAGCGCAGGACATCCAAGAAGGTTTCGGCAAGCTCATCTTCCAGAAAAAGTACGGCTTGAGCGACGACGAGCTCAACAGCTGCTTGTCCTCTGGAGAGGTGATCTCCTGGAAGCATGGGGGACTGCAGCTCTTTGCAGCGACGAACATCATGTTTTCCTCGTCCGCGACAAAGACAGTGGAGGAAAAACTGGAAGGCCAGCGAGTCGAGCTGGATGAGGAAGGTGGCGGTGCATTCGGCGCAATCTTCGGTAGCATGTTGCCTGAAGTCTCCCTCACAGGGACCAACGCTGCGCTCCAGCCTTTGGATTCATCTTCAGCAACACAGCCGTGCCCGGCCCTAGCTCTTTGTTTTGGGGCTTGCGCTTCACTTTTCACTGTTCTTGTACATATTGTCCGGTGCTTTCTAATTCTTGAGTATTCTTGCCTTCAACTGTAATTGCACATTGTCAGGAGCTTTGTAATTCTTGAGTATTCTTGCCTTCAACTGTAATTGCACATTGTCAGGAGCTTTGTAATTCTTGAGTATTCTTGCCTTCAACTGTAATGTGTTTGGACCCAAAGTTCTTGAGTCATGTTCTTCTGTGTTGATCAACTGTAATGTGCTTTGAGTGTTCTCTTGCTGTGCCAATGTTCTTGCCTTGAGTGGCTTCAATGTTGAAAGTTTTTCCACTGGTCAAATTGTAAAAGAGGTCGAACTGCCTGAGGCTGGCCTTGATGGGTGCGCCAGAGGCAGAGTTGACAGGGGAGGCCCTCCTCAGGGGCAAGAAGGCTTTGGAATCAGCAAAGCAAGCCATCCTGAAGCTTGAGAAGGACGGTAAGGCTATGGTCCTCAAGGTGAAGGATAACAAGAACGACGAAGTGTACCAGAGCCTGAAGGGAATCCTCGCCACCTTGGACCGTTCATCAGCAGTGATTGAACATGCAGTGTGTTGGGACGAGCTCCCTGATGGGAAGCTGATCACCAAGCACTCACTGAAGACTTTTCTTCTTGAACACAAAGCTGTTGCTGTGGACTGCTCAGAGAAGCTGTCTGGTTGCCTGGCGCGTTTGAAGAGCCGTTCTTGAAGTGATTCTGTCAGCTGACACTGGATTTGATCGAAAGTTGTGTTGGTAAAAGCAACATTGTCCTGAACTATATGTTTGATCCTCTACTGATCTTCCAGTTGTTGAGAGTAGCAATAACTATGTTCTTGCATTTTGTCCCATGTCAGCCCTTCGAAGGATCGTTCTTGTGTCATGTTCGTGGACTCTGCATAGAGGCTTTTGCTGAGGTTTACCAATGATACATCTTTTACAACCCACCATCCATTTGTTCTTGCTGTTCTGTGTTTGCAGCTTCATTCAACCTGTTTCAAACGGTTCTGTTTCTCACCACGGTGCAGCATCAGTTCGGCGGATTCCACATTGGTTGATTTTTTCAGAGAACAAGATGCTTCTTGGAAAAACTTGGTGTGAGCAGATCATTCGCTTAAGCGTGTTCTTGCTGAGTTGGTCTTGACGAGTTAGACCAAATTCACAAGGTGTTGTTTTGCTTCTCTGAGATTGTTCAACTGTGTGGAGTGATTTGGACATTTTAGAAACAATCGTGTTAGTGTTGAATCTTTGTGGAGGTCTTTTGCGTTCAACTTCTGTGGAGGTCTTGCTGAGAACAATTCTTGCAGAGTTTTGCGTTGTAAGTTAACAGCCAGCTCAACGTGTAAACAAACATATGTTTGCAGTGAATGATGCTCACTGTTGCTTGCTCTCAGGAGATGTGTCAAGTCATACGGCGTGTCCAAGTACATGATGCATGATACATGTTTCGAAAAAATGAACACAGCAAGAACAAAGCAAGAACAAGCAAGAACAAGTTAACAAGTTAACATGTCAACAGTTCACACAACTCAAGTCTCTCTTTCATCATGAACATCAATATACCACGCAAACATAAAGACTGCAGTTGATCGCAGATTGAAAACATATATGGCCGATGCGGCAGCCAGCTTCCATAGACGTGGCGGAATTCAACAACGCTTGGCAGCATCAGAGAGTTCCAGAACCATTCGCTCACCCTCAAAACTCTATGAATATTTACTTACTGAATTTTCATGGGGGCGGATGAGCCCTCAGCAGGTACAGGCCATCTCTGCTCTGGCAATCAGTGATATGGAAAGAGCATCAACAGGAGAGATCTTTTATGACTTGTATTTTCTCAGCAACATTGGAACACAAGGGCGCCATTTGAACAATTGCTACAGAGATTTGATGAACAGGGTTGAGAAGTGGTCTTTTGCCAGTTACCGTAATGGAGATCCCCACAAAAAGAGGCGACTGCATGGCTGAAGTTCTTCTGCCGCGCGAAGTTTTTGCGCACATGTATCACCATGACCATGAGCAATTTGCCAAGCAGTTCTTGCCTTTAGGTCAAGATGACCTTGTAAAGTTTTGGTCGCAGTGTCGAGAGACACCTTCCTTCAAAGACACACCTGGGTACAAGTCATTGAAACCCAAATATCGTATACCAATAGGCTTGCACGGTGACGAAGTGCCAGTAGCAGGAAAAGGCAAGTGCTATTGCACGTACAGTGTAGTGTTCAGCTGGTTCAGCTTAGTATCTGGAATGAGACAAGCCTTGGAATCCTTGCTTTTGCTTTGGTGCTCCAATCCAGCTCAGTTTGTCGAGGGAGACGCAGGAACACTTCAATGTTTTTGGAACGCTGTGGCTTGGAGCCTTGAAGTGCTTGAGAGTGGTCGTTGGCCCAGCAAAGATTACCGTGGTGTGAGATACGCTCGTGGCACAAAAGAATACTCTAGAGCAGGAACGCTCCTAGCAGAAGGATTTTATTGCATCCTTACATCGTTGGTGGGAGATCTTGATTACACCAACAAGTTCTTGCAAATGCCCCATTGGGCCTCTGCCTCAAGGCCATGCAACCTATGCCTGACCACTTCCCATGGCCCTGACACCTGGAAGGACTTTCGTTCAGTTGCTCCCTGGCGCTCAAAGATCTTGACCGCAACCCAGTGGTATGCAAGCAGCGATCGGTCTGCGTGTCCCTTGTTCAGGGTACCGAGCATCAATGGGCTTGTGGTGCAGCCAGACCTGATGCGCTGCAAGTACCTAGGGTACATGCAGTTTTTCTTGGGGGTTTTGATGCCCAGCACTCCAATTTCAAACCTGCGCAGGATTGGCTTGATGATTCGACGCATTCAAAACCGTGACGCAGGTGGAAATATTTCCGCTGAATGCATGGTCAAAGCTGTCAATATTTTTGCGAAAAAAAGGGTATCCAAAGCTGAAAGCAAAAGCAGCTCAAATCAAAGATGTCTCCAGAGCACTGGCTAGGGTCTGGAATCGCTTTGCTGCCAATGACAACGTGAATCAAAGGCGGGTCACATTAGTATTCCAGCTGGACAACGACATAGAAACAACCTTGAGCGAGTATGCGCCCAAAACTGGGTACTATGCTTTGCCTGCCAACGTTGCTCAAGAGCTCCGAAAGAAACAAATACAGCTTTCTCAGCTGATGGTGATGTTGGAAGAGTTTTACGCAGATGAACCCAGACAACTTTTCAACACTGTGTCGAAACTACATTACACCGCGCATATTGTTGATTCTGCTTCGACTATGCATCCTCATTTGAATTGGTGTTGGAAGGGCGAGGATTTCATGCAGAAGTCTTCAGTGCTTCTGGGTTCTTGCTTGAGAGGGCGGGGCGATGTTTCATCCAGAGTGAAAGCTATTCACAAATATAGGTATGCCTTGTACATGTCCTGGAAAGGATGACTCTCTCTACCTCATACCGTCAGCGAAAATATGAACATATGATGCTGAGTCCCTTTTCTTTCATTCAATGAATGATTGAACGAACATCTCACATTTGACGCAGCTGCCTGCTTTGTTCTTGCTTCATTCATGGAAGGAGTGAATGAACAGCTCACATGTCACATGATGTTTTTGCTGCGCTTGATGGCTTCATTCTTGCGTTTCGGCTTGCAGCGTAACTCTGATTTGCTGCTCGCGCTGCGGTCAGGCCTTGCCTTTGGTTGGTGTGAAAGGTCTTGAATTGAATGGTTCTTGCTACGACTTGGTAGTTTTGATGCTTTGATGTTCTTGCGTTGTGTGTTTTCGATCGGTGGTGAGACAGGGTATGCTGGTTCAGATGGCTCTTCGCATGAGCTTGTTTTGAACGCTACTGCGTGTGACTGAGCTGAGGAAAGCCTATAGGGAAGATGGCTTTGCTTCTTGGCGAAATCTTCCTGGTCGTGAGGCCGAGTATGATGTTTTCCTTTTTGTGTTGCAAGATGGTGTCATCATGTCGAGTCTCAATGTGCGCCAAGCCATCAGCATCGGTTGTGCCAGAAGTTGCGCCAGACCGTACTCTGTAAACTCTTTTGGCGGAAATGTGAGATCCAGCTGAGGTATTTTGGTTCCGTGTTCTTGCATGTTCTTGCGTGTTCTTGCGTATATTGGTTGAACATACACTGGATACAAACACAAGAACTTGAAAGGCAAGAACTTGAAAGGCAAGAACTTGAAAGGCAAGAACCTGAAAGGAAAGAACTTTGGGAAGGCAAGAACTTGGCACAAATCCAAAGCCAATCCACAAGGCCACGTTACATTCACCACAATGCCTTTTGCCACACTTTTGCGGCAGCCTGCACACTTTGTGTGTGTGGCTTTCGTTGTTTTTGTTTTGTTGTTTGTGCTTTAATGTTTTCTTCTGTTTTGTTGTCACTCTTTTGCAAACACGTCCAAAAACGTATCACGCTACTGTCAGGCAGTGCTTTTGACAGTGTTCATTGGGCACTGCATCATGCTGTTGGGAATTGATCCACACAAAAATATTTTAAAAAATGTATTTTAAAAATATCATGTTTCATCAAAATGAACAGCAAATATGTTGTGAGTTCAACCTGCTCCGGGGACTAAATTGGATTTAGTCCCGG